GTGTCAGCATGTCTCAGGAGCACAGGAAAAGGCTGGGGAAAAGGTTCCATCAGAGAAGAGCTTGCCTCAAAAACTTGAGGGCCTGAGTTTGATTCCCAGACCATGTGAAAAAACTGTGTGTTCCTATAACTCTAGTGCTAGGAAGAGACAGGAAGGTCACTCCCAATATCAACCTCTGGTCTACACACACACACACACACACACACACACACACACACACCCTCACACAGAGTCACTCTTACACACAGCATGCACAGATACACACATATACATACGCATGAATATGAATATACAAACACAGACAGACACACAGACACACAGAAAGAGAGAGAGAGAGAGAGAGAGAGAGAGAGAGAGAGAGAGAGAGAGAGAGAGGAGAGAATGCACTTGAGCACTTAGTAAACCATTATCCAGGTAAGGGCTGCTGCAATCTGGCTGTTTACATTTCAGTAGGGAAGAAGAAATCAGATAACTTTTAAGTTAACTGATCCGAATTAGTCATCCAGGAAGAAAGTACAACTAACAGCATCCAAATGCTTTCTTTAGTTTCATAAGCTGAGCCAGTGGCGGACCTGGTCTGGACTCCCCTTATCTGCAGCCTCCTCTCATCCTTTCCTACCTTCAGTTTTTTCTGCTGTTAGCATACCTGTTAGGAGGTGGCAGAATAAAACAGACCCCTCCCAGATCTTCCCATGCATAACTGGATGTCTGAAAATCTCCAGGTGTCTGGGGATGCAGTGGGGGACCATCAGCCAGATTGGGAAAAGGCGGGTCACAAAGGCACTAAAGGCCCTTCCTAGGGGCAGGCTCACATTTACTCCATATTTATTTCAGTGAAACCTTACAACCACCCTGTAAAGCAGGGAAGGAGCTGTCACCTCTGTTTTATATATAGATACATGGCAGAGAGAGAGAGAGAGAGAGAGAGAGAGAGAGAGAGAGAGCAGCTGGAAGAGATCTCACGGGTATTTGTGATCCACTTCCAAAGAAGCTTCCTTAGGAAAAGCTACAGGCTCAGGGAGTCTGGAGGCTGGGGGTGTGTGCAGCTGGGGGCTGGGGGGTGTGTGCAGCTGGAGGCTGGG